ACCGTGGCCCTGTGGCGTCCGCTTTGCCTGACTTTCTGAGCAAAAGCAGACTGAAAGTCCAAGTCAGCTCTCTGCTCCCTGATGTGGGAGAGGGTGGAAGGCCGAAGAAGGCTCCGTAAGATCCTTCCCACGTCTTCTCGCCAGGAACACTCCACGGCCCTGAGCAGTTCCAGGGTTCAGTATTTCCCCGCGCTGCGGTCCCCTCACGGCGGGCACACCGCATGGCCAGACACCATGCGGACAGCGTGGAGCTGGCGATGCCACAGGCCCAGGGAGCGTGAGAACGGGGGGCCCAGCCTGACACCGAGGCCAAAGACTGGCTTGTTCACCTCTCGGGGGAAAGCGGCTTGGGGGGTGGGACGGCGTTACCCGTCACCCGTCTGTGAGTTCTCCAAGTTCATGGGTGACAGAGCGGCCGCAGGGAGGAGGCCGTGGGCTGTGAATGGGTGAGCGAGGCCTAACGTGCACACTAAATCGAGCTTTACAAAATGCACCGCACAGGGGTACCCGAGTGGCTCAGTCGGTGACGCGTGTGCCCTCCGTTTGGGTCATGATCCCAGGGTCCTGAGGTCAAGTCCCACGTCAGGCTCTCTGCTGGGAGGGGAGAAACAGGTCCCCCCTCCCTCTGCCCCCACTCATACTCTCTCTGTCAAATAAATAAATAAGTAAAAATTGTTTTTTAAAAAAATCAGCCACACCAATATGATAAAATCGATTTTAAAAGTTAAAAGTCACTTCATTCCCCACCTACAACAAGTCAGCTTTTCCGAGATGTGCTCCGGGCTGGGTGGACATTCCTGACCGTTACAAACTGTACGAGGAGCTGTTTCGTCTCTGCTTTCTCGGGTTTGTCAGGGTTCCGGCCACAGCCATTAACAACCGGCCTTGCTGTTGTTACGAGAGTGGCCTCCGCCTCCACGGACACGAGGCCTGCAGCTCTCCCCCGGCTTGACCCTCGTCGTTCCTGTGTGTCGCTTGTCCTCTGTGGACTCCCTGAGAGCACCCCCAGAGCAGGCTTCATAAGCCCCCAGGAACCTTCTCAGGACTGCCACTGCGTGAGTAAGGCGACAGGTGGCCCCAACATTACCGAATGGTAACCACAGCCCCCAGCAGGCGTGTCTGCTCATTCTGAGAACTCCTCTGGAAGGTCATAGGGACATCCCTGTCCCGCCCCTGACCTTAGAATTGCCCGGCTTAATTTCCAAATACAGGGGATTCCTAGTTACCTTCTGTGGCTAATTCCTAGCTCCATCCTCCTGCCCACGCTACCTGCGTGAATGTTGCCCTTTGAAACTTGTGGAGACTTTTTTACAGCTCAGCATACGGTCAAATTTTGCATAGTCTGTAAATGGTCCTCCTGTACTGATAATTTTTTGTGGTTTCTGTACCCTGCAGATATTTCCAATTTTGTCTTTCCCCCCTTAAAACACAGGAAGGGGAGCTTTCCTGTGATCTGTGTCTCATGACTCTGCAGTGTCTGTTGGTCCTGGGAATCTGTTCTGAGGTTTCGGCTCCGTCCAGTCGTGGGCCATTCACTTGGCAAGACGCTCACGCCCCTGAGACCCCAGGAGAGTGTGCGGCTGCTGGGAAGGTCAGCGACCTCACTTTTCCTCGGCCCCTTGAGACATGGTCAGCCCAGGACTATGAGCCCATTGCACTATTTGAGGTGTTTGTGCCGCCTAAGCAATGGGCATTTGGGCTCCAGGAACCTTGCCCCACTCCGCTCCCTGCTCTGTGGTAACCTGGTGGCTGCTTTGGGGGGGAAGTTTTATTCCTAAGGCAATGTCCGGGATTTTCTGTTGTTTTCACTAGGAGGAGAGCAGCCCAGGCCACCCTTCCTGAAAGCACTTATCCCAGTCCTTTGCTCAGGGTTCTCCAGGGACCGACACTCAACAGACAGCTCTGGAAACGCCTTCATGTGAAGCAATATTTGCCCCCCAAACGCTGAATTAATCTGAAGTAATTTGAGATGGTTTTCAAACTACTCTGTGCTGTGGAATAAGAATGAGGCCCGTTGCCTTGTTTTGGTCACACTGCCCTTGTGGGAGAGCAGGGGGACATAAAAACCAAAGCTCGAACTTCAGGTTATATCACAAGACACATACAAGAATTAGAATATTAGGAGTTTAATTAACATAGATAACTTCACAAATGCTTTGTAGCAGGTATTACATACAATGTGATAGCAACCACACTAATAGCCTTCACATATGCAGGGAGTCGCCATTTCAAAGTATTCCTAATAAACCCAGTACTCAAGTCAACATTGAGCCAATAATGATTAAGGCTAGCTGAGCCTACTGGTATTGTCAGAACGAGCAAATCAAAGTAGGGTTACTTTGTACAAAGTATAAACAGAAACTGTATAATAGTAAGCATTCCAACCTAGCTCAAGATAAAAAACTTCTTTACTTAAAAATTCACAAAATAGAAACTGATATTGTGTATTGAATCTCTGAACAGAAAAGAGAACATTAGTAGAAACTGACATGGACACTATTAATTAAACTCCAGGCTTCCCAATTTTCTACTTTTATGAGTAATTCTTTGTTGTGCATAAATCCTTGTCAATGTTTCAGATTATTTCCTCAGGGCAGAGTGCAAGGAGTTTCTGGCTAGCTGATTTTTCTGATCTCATCTTGCTAAGAATATGAGGAAACCACAAGGCTGGGGGCCTCAGTCACTGACCATCCAGCTCTTGATTTTGGCTCAAGTCACGACCTCAGTGTCGTGGGTCTGGCTCCACGTTCAGTGGGGTGTTTGCTTCCGGATTCTCTCTCTCCCTCTATCCCTGTCCTCCTTCCCCGTCCCCGCCACTCCATGCACACGTGCATACTCTCTCTCCCTCTCTCTAAAATAAAGACACATTTAGAAAAAGAAGAATATGCTAAAAACCAAACTAAGTAGGAGCCTGGGTTGGTGGGTGTACCGTGCCGCTGAGAGTAATCTTTCTGGTTCCGTGTGGGGTACGTCTAGTTTCCCCAGATCCTCTGCTGTGGGACCCCACCATCAGGTCAGATATCAAGTCAGAGAGCAGATGTTAATTAGATACAATGTTAGTCAGTTAAGCGTAAACGTAAACGGGGGCGCCTGGATGGCTCAGGCTGTGAAGCGGGGGCCTTCGGCTCCGGTCGTGGTCGGAGGGTCCCAGATCGAGCCCCATGTGGGGCTCCTTGTTCCCCTGGGAGTCTGCCTCTCCCTCTGCCTGCTGCTCCCCTGTTTGTGCTCTCTCTGTCAAGTAATTAAATAAAATCCTTTTCTTTTTTTAAAGAGTAAACATAGATGAGGGGAAGCACAGCGGCAAGACTCCGACGTGCGCTGACTCACCGCACAAGGTGCGGTAATAACAGTGTGTGTCGTCAGTACCGTGAGCACGACAGTGCAGGAGAAAACCCGGAGAACATTTCATATCATTTATCCCGGCCAGCTTCTACTTTGCCGCCCGCCCCTGGTCTATCCTGAGCAGGAACAGGCTGGGCAGAGCCATGCCTCCCCTCCTCAGCTGACCGGCTGTGGCGTTGAGCACGGCCAGGAGTGTGTCAGCATGTGCGGCAGACAGACTTTGGGACAAGAAAAAGACGGGAAACATACAGAACCAGCCCCACAGTCTGCACAAACAAATCTTGGAAATCGTCATCATCAATACCATGACTTCATTAACCGTACGGTTTCCTTGAGCATCTATTGACTATTGGGCCTGAGCAATGACAGTAACTGGGCAGAGAAAATTATTTATTTATTATTACCATGTACTTCTTTCTTTATATATTCAGAGAAATATGACATGTAGATCTGATAGGCTAAGAAATCTTAATAAAGCCTCATGTCTCAAGGTGCCATCTGTATTTTTCAGGCAGTAATTCTTACATCTATCTTCTACTATGTATGCATAATTTCCTAATTGTGAACTAAGATAAACTCATTTTGAAAAACCCAACTTTTAAACTGTCAGTATATCAACAATTTTAGCAGCTGCAAAGTCTTCTGCCCACTTCTGTAGAGCTCTGGAACCAGCTCAGTCCACAATACCTCAGCCACCTAATACCAGACAGGAGAAAGTCATATTCTGATTTTATTCACATCTTATTTTTCCAAAGTCTGATTCAATTTAGGCTTAGCTAATTCTCTTTCAGACTGACAGCCACTGAGTCATGCTAATATGCACAACAAAATTCTTCATAAAATGCCTCTTTTCTGTTGTGTTCTGCTTCCTGACAAACAGCTCAACAGTGAGCCCCAAATCACGAATTCCGTATACCACACTTCTGGGGTGAGTGTGGCGAGATGTCAGACCAGCAACCTGAAAAGAATAATATTGCTATTTTGTCATTAGCCAGTTCCTCTAATCATGTCATCTTGAAATGATGCCTATGAATTCGACAAAGATGAACAGCTCGACAGACAGTCTGGCACCACTGTCCCTTCATCGGCCTCCCGGAAAACCCATCCCAGCCAGATAAATCCACGGAGAGAGGAATGGCTTAAAATGACTAAAACTTTCTGTACCTAATCCTCAAGACAATTGAAAAAAAATGAAGATCTCCCACCTAAGCTGCAAATAAAAATATTTGGAGTTTTCCAAATTATTACAAGTTCTTCAAAGATAGGAGGGAAAAGGGACGAGGACTGGAGGCAGGAAGGGGAGGAAGGGAATATGAGAGAAGAGGGAAAGAACAGTTGGAGAAGGAAGAAAGCAGGAAAAGAAGGGAGACTGGGAAGGGGAAGGTCAGCTGGAGAAGAAACTCTTTGCCCTCTTCCATGAGTAAGGGGGAGCTGAGCAGAGCGCATCAAGACGGCATCACGAAGCTATCTCAGATCTGTGGAGAAAATGCCCTTTAGAGCAGAAGAATCTTCAGTTCTCCTGTGTTAGGATGTTTTCTTGCCCTTTCTTTCCTCCTAGGCTTGGACGCCATGACAACGGTCAGCTGACCCAGCAAACACAACCCTCTGCAGATTGCACGGTGGCTGGTGGAAGGGAGCCGCTGTTTTTGCTGTTGGAAATGCGGAGAGCCCCCCGGCCAGCTCTTTCCTGTGTCAGTGAGTGCCTGCAGTGCACCTGGGAGAAAGCCTACCAGGATCACAGGAGAAAGGTAGGAAAGCTGAATGTCAGCCCAGATGGCTCCGAGCAGGTGCCCAAGCAGCCCCCACGGATTGCCAGGGCTTTCCCTGGAAACCAAAAACTAATTTTATTTTCAGAGATGGAATGGTTGGAATGGTGTTTCCTTAGAAGTTTGGTCATATATACTGCCATACGATGAAAATTCCGTTAAATGGATTGCGGTCTTTTAGGACTCTGAATTATGGCACATTTATAAAGTACTTAATTTTTCCTAATTGACTTGAAAGTATCTTAAGACACAGAAAAGCGAGGAGCCCTCTCCCCTGTCAAAACAGCATTTGCCCATGGGAACTAAAAGCCACCTTTTATCTCCATTAGGAGATATGCTACTATTTCCATTATTTGATGCAAATGTGGATATCATTTGAGAAGGTCACCTTGTGCTTTTGAAATGGCCTGCCATGGTGGTCTTATGCCTCCGAGACGTCAGTGGGCCCATCCCCCTTCACGAGGCTCGGCCGGTGCAGTCTCTCCAAGTCTGCGTCCCTCCAGGTTGAGAAATGCTCTAAGAGGGGAGTAAGCTGGGAAGGGGGCGTCGCTCTGTGACGCTCTGAAGGCATCTCGCCAGGGAGGGGACCCCAGGTTCCTGCAAGGATCCAGGTGAGCCTTTGCTCCTCTCGGGATTCTGTGTGCCTCAGTGGTGGTGACGCTGTGGCCTCAGGGAGGTCACGCTTACCGTAAGGCTGTTCTGGTGTCCCCCATACCTGGGCCCTGTACCTGCTGTCCTCCCTGGGAGCCCGGCCGTCCCAGGGCTCATCCTCACTTCCTCAGACCTCTGGGCTTCCTGCGATCTTCTCTGTGCCCTCTTTTAGGAAGCACATCCCCATCGCTCTCTGGTTCCTCGGTCTGCTGTCTCTTGTCACCACGTGATTGATGTAATGTATTCGTCTTATCGTGTTTGTTTCCCCCACCTGGCCAGGGGGTGGCCCCATGGTGCTGCTCTGATGTCCGTGACACCTGGAGCACCTAGTACATCGTGCTCAGCGGGGAGAAACTGGAAGAGCCCTTACGGTAGTAAGAACGAGACCAACAGGCACGGCTTCTTCAAAGGGCAGATGAGAATGTAAGCCATGAGCATTTTGTTGTTCACGTGTGCGTCCCAGGGACCAGCAGGCGGGTGACACCCTCAGTGTGAGTGAGTAACCGTGCTCTGCGCCTGAGAAACACGAGACAGAGAAGATTTGACCCAGTCATCGTATGGAGTGGGGAGCTGATGACTAGGGAAACCTGGCATTTGGCGCAGGACCTTGGTGCGGTGCTGGAGCCTGAAATTACCTTGTCCTGATGCGCACACCTCTGAGATAGCTCAGGAGCACACGCTTGCTGGGTCTGAGTAGGGACTGCTGAGACATCCCAATAGCACGTGGCCAGCAGCCGAGGTCACTGGGCCGGGGAATCCGTGATCCCAGCATCAGGTGTTAAAGGGAGGGCCATATGTCTCACCTGGGAGGGGACCACATGGAGACAGGGAGAAGGTCTCAGATACAGTCAACTAAGAAAGCTGAAAAGAAGGGAACTGTGGGTGTGGAACGGAGCAACTGGGGCCAGAGGGGCCATTCCAGGCAGGGACTATGTCAGGAGTCTTGGCAGGGATTTCCTGGAGAGGGGAGGAGAAGAGAGGAGAGGAGAGGAGAGGAGAGGAGAGGAGAGGAGAGGAGAGGGGAGGAGAGGGGAGGAGAGGTCAGGATAGGGGAGCGCAGGGAGTGGGCAGCACCGTCCCTGTGGAGTAGAACACATTGTGGGAAGACAAGACTGTGATCCAGACGGTGGAGGCCCCCATGAAGGAGGGGCAACATGGGCATGCAGAAGAAGGAAGGGAGAAGAGGAGCGCGGGCGTTGGGGTTGGCCAGGGCATTGGGGATGGCGGCCGCACAGAGCTGCCTGGAGGCCACAGCAAGAACCAACTCCAGATCTTACCAGTGGGCACGAAAACTTGGCTTGAAACAAATTCTTCTTCCATATTAAGAGTAAGGGGAGTCAGCTCTTTGGGGTTACTTAGTTTCTTACTGCTTGGCTGAGAATCCTTGGGAACATATAGGACCTCAATGCGTCCCGTGTCCAGAGCATCTCTAGGATGGAGCTCCTTGTCCCCAGCCCAGCGAGCATCTGGACGGAAGGTCAACAGGACCTTCTGTCTCAGAGCCTAGACATCCATTCATGCTGAAAATAAAATTAAAATGACCTTCATAAAGTAGACATTGCTACTGATATTTCCCAAACATAATAAAATATAAATGTCTTAGTCCTAAGGCAGAACTTAATTAATAGGGAAACACTAAAGGTACTTACTCCCTGTGAAGTTAGAAATAGGACAAGGGTGCCTGCTACCTTGTATACCTTTTGAATTGTGTTGGAGGTATCAGCAAACGGACAATACAAATCTGTTAGGCATGAAAATGTAGTGAAGTAGGTATTGGGTTTTTTTTTCTTTCTATTTGTAGATGAAATGATTAAATATCTAAAGAACCCAGAAGAATCAATGGAAAAACAAATATAAATTGGGAAAAATAATTGCAACTTACAGCACAAAGGGTTAATATCCTTATATAGAGAGAACTTCTGAAAAGAAAAAAAAAAGGCAAACCATTCCATATAAAGATGGGCAAGGGGGATAAATGAAAGTTCACAGAAAAAGAGTTGCAAATAGCTCTTAACCTATAAAAAGTTGGAAAAAAAATATAAAAGTTGGTCTACTTCACTTGTAACAGAGAAATGCAAATTAAACGTGCACCATAATACGATTTCTCAACTAGCAGGTTGACAAAGATCCCCCGAATTGTTGGCCGTGCTCTAGGGAGAGCGGCACCGTCTGCTGTGCAGGTGGGCGCGTGGCAGACATGGCCCCACGGAGGGTCTAGCGGTCCACAGTCAAACTGCACATGCATTTAGCCTTCAACCCGGCAGTGCCCGTTCCAAAGGCACCCTGGCAAAGATCTGAAAAGAAATTGCAAAAGATACTAATTGCAGCAGTATTTGTAATAGCAAAATTGGAGCGAACCCAAATGATCATCCAAAGCAAGCCGGGTGAGGCGCTTAGGGTGCTTCACACTACAACGCGCTATGCAGGTGCGAAAAGGGACACGAAGCCTCTCTTGATACCACTACAGAACTACGTCCAGAATGCGTTGTGAAAAGGAAAATGCAATGTGAAGAAAAATGTGTAAAATATGCTACATTTGCCTAAAAAAGAGGGGATGGAAATATATATACACATACATACAAATATATTGGCACATACATACTGTGTGTCCTTTATTTTCAGAAGTTAAAGGAGTGATAGTAAAACTAGGTCTGTCAACAGGGAAAAGGGCAAAGATGACAGGATGGAGCCTAGACTTCTTAGAAAGAGTTCTTTGTCAGATCTGACTCTGGAGACAGGTAAATATTTCACAGAGCATTAAACAAAATTAAACTTGGGAAGCATTCCAAAATACTGAAAATAAAATGGACCAAAATGTAGAAGCAATTGGTTTCATAACCACATTGAAAGGGCCTGTGGCAGCTGCCTTTGTCTTTTTAGTGTGGGTCTTTCTTTTTCGTTGTGGAAGCACAGCCCGCAGCCGGTGCTCTGCGTGTCGCAGGCGCACAACACAGCGGTTCCGTGACCCTCTACACCGCTCCATGCTCAGCTCCACAAGTGTCGTCGCCGTCTGTCACCGTGCAAGGTTATGACAATATTATCGACATCATTCCCTGTGCTGTCATTTCCATCTCCCCGACTTACTTGTTTTATACGTGGAATTTTGTGGCCCTTAATGCCCTTTACCTGTTTCATCGTCCCCCACCCCTCTCCCCTCTGGCAATCACCAGTCTGTTCTCTGTATTTATTTATTTTTTTAAGATTTTATGTATGTATTTGTCAGAGAGAGACACAGCGAGAGGGAAAACAAGCAGGGGAAATGGGAGAGGGAGAAGCAGGCTTGAGGGAGAAGCAGGCTTTCTGCCGAGCAGGGAGCCCGATGCGGGGCTCGATCCCAGGATGCTGGGATCATGACCTGAGCTGAGGGCAGATGCTTAACGACTGAGCTACCCAGACACCCCTGTTCTCTGTATTTATGATTGTGTTTTTTGCTTGTTTGCTTTGATTTTAGGACTCCACATATAAGTGAAATTGTATGCTATTTATCTTTCTCTGACATATCTCACTTAGCATTGTGCCCTTTGAGTCCATCCGCATCGCCACAAATGGCAAGATCTCTTTCTTTTTTGTGGCTGAGTAGTATTCCATTACACGTATGCACCACATTGTTATCCCGTCGTATGTCAGTGGACACTCGGGCTGCTTCCGTAGCTGCCTCTTGTTGTAGAGAGCGCCACAATGAGCAGAGGGCTGCACGTATCTTTTCAAATTAGTGTCTTCATTTCCTTTGGGGAAATACCTCGCAGGGAAACTACTGGACCCTACGGTATTTCTATTTTTATTTATTGATTTTTTTGAGGAACCTCCCTACTGTTCTCTGCAGTGTTTGCACCAGTTTACCTTCTCACCAACAGGGCATCAGGTTTCTGTTCTTCCCTCTTCTCCACACCCTCTCCAATACTTGTTCTTTCTTTCTTTCTTTTTTTTTTTTTTTTTTGATTCTAGCCATTCTGACAGGTTCTGATTTGCATTTTCCTGACGTGGGGAACGTGGAACCTATTTTCACGTGTCTGTTGGCCCACCTGGACGTCTTCTTTGAGAAAATGTCTGTTCAGATTGTTTGCCCATTTTTAATTGGATTGTTTCTCAGTACTGAGTTACACAAGTTCTTTATGTATTTTGGATAGTAACCCTTATTGTATTTGTCATTTGCTGATATCCTCTCCGGTTTGGTAGGTGGCCTTTTCTTTTTGCTGGAGGTTTCCTTCACTGTGCAGAATCTTTTCATTTTGGTCCCAATAGTTTATTTCTGCTTCTGTTCCCCTTGCCTGTGGAGACAGACCCGTAAGTCTGTGGCTGAGGCAGACGTCCACAAGATGCCAGGATTACTC